ATGACTTAGTCTCTTTGTATCTCTTAGCCTAGCTTTTCTTTGGGTTAGCTTCAGTCTCAGATAAGCTCTTTCCCAGGACTTTGGGGGGAAAAAGACAAAACGAATGGTTCTAATTAGTGGCGAGGGAGAGAGAGGGCATGTTAGAGTAGAATCTTTTCTCTGGAATTCTTCAAAACTGGCAGTCATCAAATAGGATCTTGTTTACAGATGATAAAGGAACAGCATGAGCTTTTGTGGCCCCATACAATGCTGTCGTGCTTGGTAGGCATTAGAATTTCAGAGTGTTTGTGATTTTTTCATGCCAGCTTTCGCTCCCACAGTGGTATCTGCACAAGAGTAGGACTTGGAGAATATCTGCAGCTAGAGAAAAACTGGGAAGTTATGATGACTGCTAACCAGATAAACTTTTAGCAAAAAGAATCACAAAACTTGGGCAGGAGGCCAGTGGTTTACCATGGTTGAGTGCAACAAAGCAAGTAGGATGCACAGGTTCAAGGGGCTGGGGAAGCCGACCCTGGGTACATGAGGCTCAGCAGTGTGGGAGCAGAGCACACACAGAGCAGAGAAGCTGATTTTGGAGAGGACACAAGGAGTGGCAGCAGTAGGTCAGAGTCTAAGAGGACAGTAGGTCATTCTCGAAGTTGGTGCTAAAGCGTAAGAATGCTTGGTAGGTTTCTATTTTGACGCTTTGGGGTAATGTTCATTAGTTATTTCTGTTGTTCTCTCTGCTTGGAGAGCTCTTCCTCCAGATTTCTGCAAGTCTCACATCTTCACTCCTTTTCAGTGGGGATCCTTCAGGGTGGAATTCTGTCAGTTTCTGAGGATGCCTGTTCCAAAAGTGCATTCTAAAACTGTAGTTACCACAGGTGTTTGAAAACCCACTGGGGCTCACTTCTGAGACAGACCTGAGCTACATCTCCATTGCTCACCTGATGTCCACTGCCCTCTGCCTGGGACCCATCATGGTGTTTGGATCTCTAAAAAGTAGTGTCTTATTCTTTTTGGTATGTATTGCACCTTGAGACAAGTCATCCTTCGTACTTCATTTTTTGGGGCCTGCGTGGACTAGAGTCTGCTTTTAGGTCAGAAGCAGAGCGAGGTGGTGGATAATTAGCAGTCCCTGATAAGGAAGGTAGGAGAGGGTAGGCTGATTCCAGGAGAAAAGGTATTAGGTTCCACTGGAGTCTGTTCAGATGTCCCATGCCACTGAAGAAGGCTTCCCTCCCTGTCCATCCTATTTAAAAGGGTAATTCTCTCCCTCCAAAGGTCTTGGCTGTTAGCCTTCCCTGCTCCCGTTTCTGCATAGCACCTATCACCACCTGTCACACTATAATATTCACTTATTTATTTTCTTCCACCTAGAATGTAAGTTCCTTGAAGCCTGGAACTTTATTCTGTTAATTCCCTAGCATCTTTTCTGTCTAGAAGAGTGCCTGTGTATAGTAGATTGTCAGGATTGCCAGTGCCTATTTGTGGAATGATTGATTGATTCATCCATTCTTTCATGTATTTATTCACATTCACTCATTCCCCAGACATTGATTGAGAACAGTAATCAAAAATAATGGCAAGTGTTTGCAACGATGTGGATGGAGCTAGAGAGTATAATGCTGAACAGAATAAGTCAGTCAGAGAAAGACAAATACCATATGATTTCACTCCTGTGTGGAACTTAAGAAACAAAACAAATGGAAATACAAAGGAGGTGGGGGGAAAGAGAGAGGAGAGAAACAAACCAAGACACAGACTTTTGACTCTAGAGAACACACTGATGGTTACAGAGGGAAGGTGGGTGGGGGAGATGGGGGACACAGGTGATGGGGATGAAGGGATGCACTTGGGATGAGCACCAGGTGATGTATGGAAGTGCTGAATCTCTATATTGTACACCGGACACTAATGCAGCACTGCATATTAACTGTATTGGAATTTTGACAAAAGAATAATGGCAAGTAATAAACCTTCAGGAGCGAAAGGTATCTGAGTGGTCAAGAAAGAGAAAGGTGGCTTGAGACAGTGTTGTCGGCAGAGAGTAAGCACATTTTGTAGCATGTGCGAGGCCGTCCTGTGAGGAGTCTGTTATTCTAAGTACAGTGGGAAGCCTCAAGAATATTTTAAGCCAGGGAGTGACAGAATTTTATTTTGTTTATAAAATTTACCATGGCTATTGTTTGGAGAATAGGCTTAGGAAGGGAAGCTTGGTGGAAGGCAGCTTTTCAGTACTTTTAGAGAAGACACAGTGCTGGCTTGTGCTGGAAGTAGCTACGATTTAGCTTCCGCCTTTTTTTTTTTATTTCTTTTATTGTTATGTTAATCACCATACATCACATCATTAGTTTTTGATGTAGTGTTCCATGATTCATTGTTTGTGCATAA